GGGGGGGGGGGGGGGGGAATGGGGAGTAGCATGTGTTGCATTTGTTTTTTGTTACTTGTGTTCTATTTTCATCTACTATATGTTACTAATCATTGTGCCTGCCAACCACCTCCACCTTCTCAAATATTCTAAAATCTATTTAGTTAAAACTTGAAAGTGACCTAAATTTTTTGCTGCATATGCTTAACTATTCTTTTATATGGTTTTCCAAATGTTCTTTGCCATTTTATCTGAAAGGAAGAACAAATCTTGATTTTCTTATCGTGTGTAATTGGGTATATCAAGCCACCTGTATTACTTGATGCAGAGTAGGCTCCTGTTCCATTGCATTTTTTCAATCATAATATTAATATGATAAACTCATACGTTATTAGTATGATTTTGCTATTTTGACAGCCCTGTTGGAGAAAATAAGAGAAGTGGCGAAGTCTATAGACTCTTTGATGTTGGTGGCCAGAGAAATGAGAGGAGAAAATGGATCCATCTTTTTGAAGGAGTTACAGCTGTAATATTCTGTGCTGCAATTAGCGAGTATGGTCTGCCATTTGGTTGCATATCTTAATATGGCTTATAGTAATTGTGATAAAATCTCTTTGGACTATTCCATATTAAAGAAGTCGCCATGAACTAGTAAAAATATATGAATCTCAAAAACACATATCAATTTCTTGTCTATATATCTATTTGGATTGTGCTGCACAGCAAATTCGAAGGTCAAAGTCCAGGCACATCCACAGTTACAATTAAACACTTCTTATGTGATGTTCACTTTGACACTTTCAATGCTTGACGATTAGCAAAAGGATATTTTTATTGAAAGAAGAGAAAGATAAGCCCATTCTAGTTCTGTAGCTGTGCATGTTTGACGTTAGTTACGAATGTTCAATAAAAAAGGTTGAGTGCATATTATTGGCAATAAACGTTTTATGTTGGTAGACAAAGACAAAGTAATTCACGTATCCTTTAAGTCATGCTGCAAGAGATTTATAATTATGAGTTTTGTAAAGCTAAAATGTTGACTTTATATTTGCCGTCCAGGTATGATCAAACACTTTATGAGGATGAAAACAAGAACAGAATGATGGAAACTAAGGAACTTTTTGAGTGGGTCCTGAAACAACCGTGTTTTGAGGTTTTCTTTTATGCCTTTTATTTTTAAATTTTTAACAGCTACATATGCATGGGAAAAATTTATATCAACTCTTTTTTTCCCGTTTCCTTTGTGTTGTGCTTAGGGCTTTATACTATATTGGCAATTAACATTTGTATTTATCTCTGAATAATAACTTGCATCTCTTTTATGGACAGAAAACATCCTTCATGTTATTTTTAAACAAGTTTGACATATTTGAAAAGAAGATCCTGAAAGTAAGAACCGTCCAGACCAATACACTTTGTGATAGATGGAGTCTATTATCATTTCAGTTTAATACCTTGCATTGTGCAGGTTCCGCTTAATGCATGTGAGTGGTTCAAAGATTACCAGCCAGTTTCAACAGGAAAACAAGAGATTGAACATGCGTACGAGTAAGCAACTTCTTTATTATCTCAGGGATATGGAAAGAAGGGTGTTGCTGACTGCAAACTAGTTGGTTGAGTTCTGACCAGTGGAAGCATTACAAATTCGAACGTTACATTTTGATACTTATCTAAGCAAGTATAGGTTTCAAGTGCTGGATGATGAAGATTTTATAACCTCAACAATTTGATGTAAACTGTGTCTGCAGGTTTGTTAAGAAAAAGTTTGAGGAATTGTACTTCCAGAGCACTGCTCCTGACCGTGTAGATCGTGTCTTCAAGGTGTATCGGACGAGTGCCCTTGATCAGAAGCTTGTGAAGAAGACTTTCAAGCTTGTTGATGAGACTTTGAGACGGAGGAATCTCTTTGAAGCTGGCTTATTATGACCATGCAACACTATAATATGTTTAAGAGGGATATGATATTTTTACATTGGAAGGGTCATCTGATTTTGGGTATATTAGAGGTCAGGTATACAGCAATATAAAATCGATTTGTTGATTTTATGTCAAGTAAATCCTGGGTGGATAGGGAAAGCTTTCTGAGCACTTGATCATAACATCCATCTTTAGAAGGAAAATTAGTTGCGCTTAAATTTTCAGAGACGACATCATGCTTTGTGATTATAACATTGATTGAAAGTCACTAATGATATATTTCATATCCTTTATATTTATGTTTATTAAACATTAATCAGGTTTAGCCCATGCGACTGTGTGTTGGCATGCGTGCTCTGCATGCAAGTTAATTTTGGGTCTCTATGCCCTGTCTTTGTTCGAGTTCATATAGTCTTTTGAACACTTGCACTAGACTTCATTGATGCTGGCAAGTGAAAGTGACTACTATACTTAACTGTCTAGAAGAGATGTTTTTGGCATGCTTGACTACCACAACTTCATTGAATCCGTGTAAAGGATTTTTTATATTATTATTCAATAATTATAAGTGAAAATTATTAAATTTTGAAACAAGTAGTTTAGGTTAATTTTCAATTAGTCAACTGTGAAAAAGTTGTATATCTATTTATTTATGATATAAAAATTGAGTTACTATTACGTCGATATTTCATCTTAAAATATATTGTCATGACAATAAAAATGTTTGTGTCATTTTATAATTTATCTTATTTTAATATAGAATTTCATAATCACAAATCTTATATTTTCATATTTACAAATCCTAAATATTTCTTTTATTTTTATATATACAAATTTTAAATATTTAGATTAAGGAGTTTCATAGTCTTTATACTTTTCCATCTGGGATGACTCACCTCTTCTATCATTCCATAATTATTATTTTCTGTTGAAATGAAAATTAATGATTGCACCTCTATTGCATATGTGTGATGATCAAACTCAATTCAACCTACTTCTCTGTTAAAGAGAAAATTGTCATTGCATAATAATATAATTATCCGTTTCTTAATATTAATTGTAATAAACTATAATAACATAATTATATTTTATAAAAATCTAATTGAAATAAAAATATAATTTTATATTTGCTTTATATAAAATAATAACATAATTTTATTAATCGAGGAAATTAAATAATAAAAATATATCTAATAATTGACATATCAATTAAATTAAATCTTTTAATTACAAATTAATTAATAATATATAACTGCTAATTTTAGAATTTTAAATTATTAGTTAATGATAACAAATTATAGCAATATTATCATATATAAATTAACATTTATTAATATTAATTACTCAATTCAAATTCTAATATAATTTTGTTTTATTGTGATAACAAACTATATTTATAGATCAATCAAACATTGATACAACAATTTTTTTTTTATAAAACTACTTTTAGCAAAGCCAATAACTTATTTATTAGCTTTTATTTATGATGCTTTGATATGGGTTCGATTTGATCAAAACTCTATTAAAAGATTGATTATAAAATTATCTTAATTAATATGTAGAAAATTATTAGCATACAAAAATTCTCATTAGTGACAAAGTAATTTACACATTTTTAAAAAAGGTTTAGTGACGAAAGATGAAGTTTTGTTATTAAATTTATCATAATTGAACTCATTTATTGTATAATAACAATATCATGCTAGCATAAAAATCTAATCATTATTATATTTCTTATGTTTTAATTCAAATATTATTAACCCACTTCATACACTTATATATGAAATAGATGTAATTATATATATCATATTCATTTTACATATAGACTTTATACTCTCCTTGTTTCAATACATACTTTATAATAATTTAATTTTATAATTTAATATAATATATTTTTTTTGAAATACTTGTAATATTTTAAAGTTATATCTTATACATTTATATATGAATGTGCACATCTCACGAATCAATATCTAGTTGAATATTGAATTGAAACGAAATCAAATATGAATTTAATGCTGTTGAAAACTTATATTGGTTGAAGTTGATCCTTGGACCATTCTTATTAACAACGGAAAACTCGTTTTGTTTGTTGATAACAAGTGAATTAAAGCAAGAGAGGGAGAATAAGCGGTGCATCTTCACTGGCCAATTTTATCTTTGATTTCCTCTCCGCATTGTTAATGAGGTGATAACAAGCCATATTTCCACCGCATGCCAAGAATAGTAACGGATAAATTGGGTTGAAAATGGACGTTAGAAAATCCCTACTAAAATAACAAAGGCTTTGAGGCCTCTTTCTCTTGCAACCATCCCCTAGTTTCATCCTCTAAAAACCAACTCCCTCAGTTTGCAAGGAAAAAACCAAAAAAAAAACCCCAAATCTAAGCACTTGTTGCAACTTCTTGGTTCCTTTTGGAGACAAATCAAAACAACTTTCCAACCATCAACCTAACCAGTTATTTGCATTTCTCTATAAATTCTCTAATCCCGAGCCATCTTTACAAACACCTCACTCTCTCTTTCCTCCACTTGAAGTGTGTAAATTAGAATCATTGGCTTCATCATGGGTACTAAACTAGTATATTGGGCCATCATTGTATTATGGCTTACTTCATTTGAAGAAAATATGTTGCTTGTTAAGGGTGGTGGTTTTAATTACAAGGAGGCTCTCACCAAGTCCCTTATCTTCCTAGAGGCACAACGTTCAGGGAAACTCCCTAAAAATAATAGGGTGCCTTGGAGAGGAGACTCAGCACTCGATGATGGAAAGCACGTTAATGTATCTTTCTATCTCTCTTTTTATTTAGACAAATTAACAAACAGAGAAAATGAAAATTTTGGGTTAACATATATATGTACGTGTGCATGTAGGTGGACCTTGTTGGGGGATACTATGATGCAGGGGACAATGTGAAATATGGTCTCCCCATGGCTTTCACCGTTACTACTCTATCATGGGCTGCAATTTTTTACAAGTCAGAATTCCAAGCTGCAAACGAGTTGAATAATATTGAGGATGCCATTCGTTGGGGCACCGATTATTTTCTTAAAGCTAGTTCTCGACACAAGAGATTATATGTGGAGGTAGTGCCATTCTTCTAATTACTTTTATCTTAAAAAAAAAAAAGAAGCATGATAACATTAATAGTAATGTTATGTATAGGTAGGGGACCCGGAAGATGATCATCATTGTTGGGCTCCACCGGAACATATGAAGACAAAGAGAACGGTTAAGAGGATTGATAGTAATACTCCCGGGACTGAGATTGCAGCTGAAACTGCTGCCGCAATGGCTGCTTCTTCCATTGTTTTCAGGGCCAAAGATCGTAAATATGCTCGTCTCCTTCTCAACAAAGCTAAATTGGTATGTTCACATCAAATATAACATTTATTTTTATGTCTAATTAATTAATTAACTTTAGGGTGCACGATGACTCATTTTTTCTTTGTTCCACATTTCTTGCATGCAGCTTTTCCATATGGCTAAAGAACATAAAGGAACCTACGATGGAGAGTGCCCCTTCTACTGCTCTTATTCCGGCTATCATGTAATTGATTACCCGTATAAACTTTATAGAGAAATTAATTTATGACATGGTCTAGGACTATATATATGTGTTCAGTATGTGACACATTGTTCAATTTATGAGACATGGAGATTATATAATCTGGCATGGACCTCATGAATTATATATGAAGCTTTAATTTCATAATTGGTGGGATGCAGGATGAACTGATGTGGGCATCCACGTGGCTATACATGGCTACCAGGAAGCCTATGTACTTGAAGTACATAAAAGAAGACACCATAAGTGCTAGTGTAGCAGAATTTAGTTGGGACCTTAAATATGCTGGAGCTCAAATCCTTCTCACCCAAGTAATTAATTTTCTGTCATCATTACTATTTCTTTTTCATGTTAATTAACCAAGTCCTAATTAACAAATGATATTGTTGGGCAGTTATATTTCGAAGGTGAAAAGAATATGGAAACATTCAAAAGCCACGGCGATAGTTTCGTATGCTCTGTCCTTCCCGAAAGTCCCTACCACCAGATTAACTTGTCTCCTGGTCAGTATACTTATTACTTAGTACTCTCCCTTGTTGTATATGCCACTTTCACTTTAGACTTGAAAGAGTTGGTTAGAAATAGAAATAACGTTGCACTAATATTGTAGGTGGGTTTATTCATTTGAGAGATGGGGCGAACACGCAATATGCCACGAGCACGTCTTTCTTGTTAACTGTGTATAGTGATTTGCTTGCGAAACATAAGGAGAAAGTGAGTTGTGGAGACAAAAAGTTTGGGTCGTCGCATCTCCTTAATTTCGCTAAGAAACAGGTTAGTGTATATATTATATAGAGTATATAGACAAATGGAATATTGATTAAATTAAAATAGAAAATACTTATGTATGCATGCATGCATGCAGATGGATTACATACTAGGGAAAAACCCTGAAAAGAGATCGTACATGGTGGGATTTGGGAAGAACCCACCAACGCAGGCTCACCACAGAGGTGCTTCGGTGCCAACGTTGAAAAAGGGAGAAGAGGTGAATTGTGCGTTGAGCTTCGCGCAATGGTTACATAAAGATCAACCAAACCCTCATGAGCTAACTGGAGCCATTGTGGGTGGGCCTGATCGCTCCGACAAGTTCAACGACAAACGTTGGGACTCACCCAAGACTGAACCATGCACCTACGTCAATTCCCTCGCTGCTGGAGTTCTAGCCAAACTCGCATCCTTGCCTTGATCTTATGTTTCAAAATTACTTTCTATATTGTAATTAGATGCTTTCTGCATTCACCACATCAAAATAATTAGGTTGTACATTGCAATCAGTAAATAGAAACATACATGGATTTCACAGCGTTTTATTTTTTAGCTTTAATAATGTTTACTATTAAGAATACCGTTGGATAAATTCCTTAATCAATTATATATAAAAAGAAAATTATTTTTTTTATAAATTAAAATTAACTTATATATATATATGTTATATTTTTTAACTTTTTTATATTAATTTGTCTGGTAACTTTTTTTAATCTATATATAAACTGGTTTTACTTCATGAAAATTAATTTTATTTTTTTAATGAGTGTTTATAAATAAATTTATAGAAATTGCTTTTAATCAGGTGGGAGAATTGATCGAATTAATCCCTTTGCACTAATTTCATTATAGTACGACACCCTATAAAGAAATATGATCAAATCTTTGTTGTTCAAAGTAAGGGAAAAGACTCAATGCAATATACAGTATGATACAAAAACAAAATGGAAGTTTTTAAAAGGTTTAATATATCATTTGTTATTTAATTTTTTTAAATTATGTCTCTAAACTAAATAAAATGTATTTAAGTTTATTATTATTATTATTGTTGTTGTTATTATTGTTATTATTATATTTTAACTTTGCAATTTTGTCTGTGAAATTAAGTGTTTGTCTGTGATTCGTAAAATTTAATAGGATATTCTTTATATTTTTTGTAATTAGTACAACTACATAAAATTATTATCCATGTCAACACCCAACTTTAGGTTTTAATTCTTACCTATAAAAATTCTTATAAACTTCCTAATCATCATAATTATGAGATAGTAGAAAATTTTAATGAGTAGAGAAAAGAACTTGATACATATAAATGACAACATGAAATAATAATCTAATATAATTGTTGATGAATGAAGATATAAAAATTATTTTGCCAAATTTTATAGAATGTCTCAAGAATTAAATTACAAAATCATAAAAAGGAGTCAATTGCAATTTTATTTTAGATTAGACACCTAATTGAATTTCAAAAAGTTCTGACCAAATTAATGTATTTAACTTAAAAACAGAACGGGAGTTTAAGTTAGTTCAAGTACAAGATATGCCTGTTTAATTTACTTCGATATATAACCCCTTTTTATCTTTGATTTCAGACATAAAATGTTTGAAATTTTGAGGAAGAACACTTTTCCATTTCTTTCTTATTCTCCATCTTCTTATTACCTGCTAATTAATTAAAAATAAAATAATATAGATAAATGACCAGTTGTGACCTATTAATTAATTACTTATTTATTTAATTAGTAATAAGTATCAGCCAACTTAATAACATCGACTTGAGTTTGTAAATTTAAACGAGGTTCAAACTTTATTACTGTTATCGATGTCAAGAAAAAAAATCTGGATTTAAAAAATGATTGATGCAAAGGTTGATTTTAAGCAGAATATATCATTATATTATTTGTTATATTTTATATTTTATTTAAAATGTTTTCTTTTTAATATATTTTTTTTACTTGAAATTAACTTTAAAAATTGATATTAACCATTTTTTTTAAATATATATCATTATCCCGGAGACTGATGCACCTTTATCATGGAAATTGATATTAACCAACTTTTTAATTCGAGTTAAATACGGTGACAAACAAGTAACATTTTCTTTAAATTGGTGATTTTAAAATTTGAATATTTAATATCATAAATAAATTTTTCTTAACTTTATAGTATATTTTTACCAAGGCAAAATACTATTAGGTATTAGTTGATAAATATTGTTCATTTTTTTAATTTTTTAATTTTTATGTTTTTACTAGAATCTGTATGAGAGTTTGATCATACTTGAGTGTTAATTTTTTCTCATTAATTTCGATAGTAGAGATACTTGCAAAAAGAAACTTAAACGTTCAAGTAAGCAGTGATCTTAAAAAGATATATAATGAATTAGGTTTAAAAATTGTATTTGTACACCCTTAAATAAGTGTAAAATCATTATCTTTAAGATAAAAATATTTTAACTAAGTTACAACATACCCATTGTTTGTCTTAAACAGTCATCATGTAAAGGTAATAATAGAGCTAGGCTGAAGTGTGGCTCGCACAACTTGACCTAACCACATTTTGACCCACACGGATAATACACTTTTAATTTTTTTAAAAAGAAAATGAAAGAAAATATTATTATCATAATAAAGTATAAAATCACATTGAAAAATATTCAACACATATCATAAAAATAAAAAAAAATTGCACAGGTAACATAATTCTAAACAAACTATAACTACTACTCCACATTTATCTCTTATGCTAATTTTTCCATGTTTTAAATTCTCCAATTAAATATTTGTTTAAAATTTTAAATACTCTTTAATATTAGTAGTTGTCAAATTATTACACTTGTATCATTTAATAATATTTTCCAAATATATATTTCACAAATTTAATTGTTTAATTATTTGATATTATTTTCGTGCTCATATATATTAAATTTAATATATTTTAAACATTTGTTAGTATGTTGTTTGACATTTATCAATTAGTTTTTAAATAATATATTTTACATTAAAAATATAATAGTGGGGTAAAGTATCAATTTATTTTTCATTTATATTAATTTTATAAAATTAATATATTTTATAATAATTTTAATTGGATTAGTTAAATTTGTATTTTTTAAAATTATTAAATAGTATATGTGTAAAAAAAATTGACATCCATCGTCAATTGATCCCTCTTTTTTTTCCTTATTTTTTTTTTAAATTGAAAAGAAGTAAAATATGATGTTTATTAATTTTTTTCTTTTTATTTATATTAAAACTAAAAAAGGAATAATTATTTTCTTTTATTTTCTTCTATTTTCATTTCAAATGGTACATCATTATAGTGATTTGAGTTAGGAGTTAGCTAACCTACGAACACAAGGGGTACTTGACAGTTGATAATGACTCTCAATCACATAATTCCAAAAATGTGTAACACGATAAGTTAAAGTACATGCGGTATCAATATTAAAATTTGAGTTAAATTATATTTTTAGGCTCTTTATTTATATTTAAATTTTAATTTAATTTTTTTAATTTTAAAAAAATTAATTTGTTCTTTTTATTTTTAAATTTTGTTTAATGTTATTATTTTATCTAAAATGGCACAAATGATATTAGTGAAATTAAATAAAATGATAATATTACTTTTTTTTTTTTTTGAAAATTAGAGAATCAATTTTAACATTTTAAAAATAATATGACCAAATTGAATAAAAATTTATCTAATATTTTTTAAAATAATTTTAATTTTTTATTTACCTTAAATTATGAATGATAACAAATTGAGTATTTAGATTTAAAAAAATATCATAAAATAAAGAAATTGTCTAATAAAATAAATTACTAAATAAATAAAGAAAATTCAAATTTATCTAGATAAAAATATGTTAAACAAATCTTTGTTCAATTTAGTCATTTGTTTATGAAATGTTCACTTTTGTCTCACTATTTTTAAATAATTTAATTTAGTCCTCTAATTTTAAAATGATGTTTAATATTGTCCTTATTTTATTGACATTGTCGGTATCGATCTAGATAGAGGAGTAATATTGAATATTTTTAAAAAAATTAAAAGATCAAATTGAACCATTTGAAAATAATAAGATTAAATTGAATCTTAAAAATAAATAAAAGGAAAAAATATAATTTAACCTAAAATTTATAATCCTTTTGTTAAAGAAAATATTAAGTAAATTGAATAATTCAAAGTAAGAGAAGCTTTCTTTTTTTATTCTTTGTTATTACATGTTGAATGTGTTGTTGATTTGTCAATGACAAATTATATTGATATTTGGAATTGATCGGAGATTTTTGAGATTTTAGGGAAAAATCTTAATTTTGTTGATTTCATATCCAAATTCTTATTATAAATTGTGTTTGTTGATAGAAATAAAATATTAATGATGATCAGATGAGTTTTGATAATTTAGATTTGAGATCAGAACTTGTCGATAAAATATAGATGAATTAGAAAAGTTTGAAAATCCCAAAATGGTGAGCAAGAAAGGTGTAAAATCTCCGACGTTATCCTGTGACAAGGTAGCTGGAACAGAAGAGTGTGGTGTGATTTGAAACATAATAAAATGAAATAGGGAGCGAAAGAACAGTTAGTTGTTTATTCCCATCCATGTCATGCACTTCTTCTACGTTCTACCTCACTCTTTCCAAGAGTA